TGATTCCGGTATCCTGGCTGGACTAGCCTTGTCTTGCAGGCTACGTTATGAGTTATCTTGCAGAAGATCTGCATGTGCAGCGCTCTCAGCATGCCTGGCGTCATCATGTTACACGCAGTGGTGCCAGTGGTTTTGGATGCGATACATTGTCGGACGGTTCAGCTGCCAATGCGTTGAGACATCGCATAGGTTGGAGCAGGGCGGCCATCCGTGTTCTGCACGTCGGACTCGGTGCGCAAATTAACCTCAAAAAGTGACCACCGTATTCAACACGCTTCTCCTTCCGTTGCGTGGCCTTCACTCTTTATCGCGGGCGTCCCTCGAATTGATGATGCAACTTCTATTCAAGTGCAGTGGGCACTGTGCCTAAATCTTTGCCAGGTCTATGCACATATGCATACATCTTCCTCTACGCATATATATATATATATATATGAGAGAGAGAACATGTATGGAAATTCTCGCTCGAAGTCGCCTTGCGTGTAGCTTCCTTGCCTGGGTCAAAATGGACTGACGGCCGCCGTACCTCACAGTTCCCCGAAGTCCCAGTGATGCATCAACGCGGCGTCCACCGCGTGTGAGTTCACGGGGTCAGCAAGGTTTGGCTTAGGTGGCGATTCCATTCGTACAGAAGATTCGTGTGCGTGATCAACTCGCGTCTCGTTCTACATACAGTTTTATAGTTGCGCTTCGATCGTACATTATTCAGTGTGTGTGGGTGTTTGAGCTCGCGCGTTGAATTTGGGATCACCGCGCATACTGCTTAATTTCATCGATCGTTCACTGGCAAAATGGCAATCAAGGCAGGATAACATGCCAGTATGGAATTAGCGTTGTGTTGGCATCACTTGCTGGTGGGAGGCAGATGTGATGTAAGGTGTGGTTTTCTCATGCGGCATGTGCGCAGTGCCGTTTGCACGGGCGCCTCATTACAGTTGATGGTCGTGCCGATATTACCACGGGTTTGTTTCAGTCCTCCTCTGTCTCGAAAAAAAGGAAGAGGGGAGGGGATGGGAGAAGGGTGGGGGGTGGAGCTGCGTCTAGGGCGACGGGGGATGACCGGGAAGTTGAGGGCGAGCAGCAGCAGGAGCAGGGGCAGGAGCCACACCGCAGAGGGCGAGCCGCCTGCCGCGACGGCGGTGGGGTTCTGCTGCACACTGGTGCTCGGAGTGGCCCTGACAGAGAACGCGTGCCGCAGGAACCGGGTCCTGGACCCCGAGCGCTCTCCCTCCTCCTGCTCCTCCTGCTCCTCCTGCTCCTCCTCCTCCTCCTCCTCCCTCCTCCTCTTGCTCCTCCTCCTCCTCCTCCTCCTCCTCCTCCTCCTCCTCCTCCTCCTCCTCTTGCTCCTCCTCCTCCTCCTCCTCCTCGCCTCTTGTGGACAGGCCCGGGGCCCGTGGAGAGCCCCGCGGCCCCGAACAGCGGCGGCGAAGGGCCTCCAGGGCCACGCCTCCTCCAGGACGCGCTCTTGAGGTGCTGGTCTCGGGGACCTTCCCCGGGCCCACGCGGCGGATCGGTGCGGTGCTCGGTCGGCTCCGGGTCGACGCGACTTCTCCCGAGTCGGCGGGCGTTCGACGCAGTACCGACGCATGTGTGGAGCGAGTGGTTGTAGGAAAGTCCCCAGAACGAGCCGTATCCGCGGCCACGCGGCCCGGGCCTTTGGGCCGCGACCCCGCGGATACGGCCCGTTTCTTTCGCGGATGTTCCGCGCGGGACGCATCCGCGGGATCGCGCCCCAGAATCCAGACCGCGACGAAGTACAAACAGTGGGGGCCCATGCCAAGAAACACCCTGCTCGCCTCCTGGGTGCCCTGGGTTTCTTGGGTCTCGATGGTTTTGCGATAGGAGGCGCGACGCTCCCACGCCAAGGATCCGCGGACGCCTGGGGGTCTCAGGGTTGGGTGTCTTGCGGAAGGTTTCTGGTGGACTGGCCTTGACTTTACGGACACGCTCGCGCACGAGGGCTGCCTTCGTGGCGGCCCTGGCCTCCCGCCCGCCCGCCCGCCCCGCCGGCGCTGGCCTCCCGCCGGCGCGGTCGTCGTCGTCTGCCTGCTTCGCCCCTCCCGCCGGGCGCGGCGGCGCGCAGGGCTCTGTATATGATTCGCGCCCCCCGCCGGGGACCACAGAACCGCTCGAGGCATCGTTGGCGGGCCCAGTTTCCACCAGCACGTCCATAGGTAGGAGAGGGAGGTGGAGGGGGACGGGGAGGAGGAGGAGGAGGAGGAGGAGGAGGAGGAGGAGGAGGAGGAGGAGCTGGAGGAGCTGGAGGAGGAGGAGGAGGAGGAGGAGGAGGAGGAGGACCTCATCCTCCCTCCTCCCCCGTCCTACATGTGGTGGTGGTGGTGGAAAGTTTGCCCATGGCTCGTGCACGCGATCGGAGTGCGCACCGCTGCCAGCCCGTTCCGCGCGCCTCTATCCGCGGGGATCGCACCGACGCGGCGCCGCCGCGCCCCCGCGCGCTGCGAGGCCCCCCCCTACAGGGGGGGGCCACGGGAGGCCTCTCGGCGCCGGCAGTCCTCGGGGCAGCCTCGGTGGCGATGTTCTTCGGCCCGCGGCCCCAGAGCTTCCCTTTGCAGTCAAGGCTTTGGGGGGAGGAGGAGGAGGAGGAGGAGGAGGAGGAGGAGGAGGAGGAGGAGGAGGAGGAGGAGGAGGAGGAGGAGGAGGAGGAGGAGGAGGAGGAGGAGGAGGGGGAGGGAGGGGAGGAGGAGGAGGAGGAGGAGGAGGAGGAGGAGGAGGAGGAGGAGGAGGAGGAGGAGGAGGAGGAGGAGGAGGAGGAGGAGGGGGAGGGGGAGGATGAGGAGGAGGGGGAGGAGGAGGAGGAGCCCATGCCAAGAAACACCCCGCTTGCTTCCAGGGTGCCCTGTGTTTCGTGGGCCTCGATGGCTTTGCGAAGGAACGCGTAACGCTCCCACACCAAGAATCCATGAACGTCCTGGGGTCTCAGGGTTGGGTTTCTTCTGGAAGGTTTCTTGTGGTCGGGCCCTTGCTGCAGGCCTCCCAGACGGGATCAGCGTCGACGGGGTCGGAGCATCGGGGGGCCTCGCCGATGCGTTGGCGGTGCGGCTCGGTGTGGATCCCGACTTTCTCCTCCACGCCGATGTATCGCCGATGCGTCGCCGACGTCGCCGATGCATCGCCGGTACATCGGCGATGCATCGGCGATGCATCGGCGATGCGGCGCGATCCTCCGACCCCATCCGCTCGGGCCCCAGCCAGGAGGCCTCTGTGGAAGCAGGACCACTTGGGGCGCAGGAGGGGCTCGGCTCCGGTTTGCGGGCCAATTGCTTGGATCCAGGTCGGGGATTCCCTTCGTGGCCAGGGTTCGCCCTGGCCAGGAGAGCCCCATCGGGGGCGTCTCCTTCATGTTCGCCCTTCGCCCCTTTGCCTCTGGTCCCGCCTTTAGTTGCGCAGAGCGAGAAGACGGGCAGAGCGCGAGGGAGCGCAGAGGGAGAGGGAGGAGGAGGAGACAGAGGAGAAGCAGGAATCCGTTTTGGTTTGTCGGGTACGGCACCCTCCCCACCCCAGTCAGATTCTACCCCGCGGGGCCACGTTCAGCAGAAGGACATCGCGGCCCAGGGAGGAAACCTCGCAACCAAACCGACGACCAGGACCCTCGCTCAGCCCCCCGGGCTTTCGGGCTTGTACATTTTCTGGGCGGAAGGAACCCCTCCCCTTCTCCCTCTTGCGGATGCAACTCCTGGGAGGTGAACTTCTGAGTTTGCCCTGGTCCGAAGTCCGGCTGAATTTTGCTCAATCCCGCTTAATCCGGTTGAATCCCGCTCAATCCGGCCCAATCCCGCTTAGCCCGAGGCCCTGTCTGGCGTAGCAGCCCCGCAGTGGGGCTCAATCCTCCCTAGTCTTTCCGACGAAGGCCTCCCAGCAGCTGCTGCCTGACCCGCCTCGGCTGCCTCACTGGGAGGCGGCGCGGGGCGGCGCGCAGAGGAGGATTTCGGGAAGCGCCGAGGGCGAGGGAGGAGGGCACGGGCAGCAGCAGGCGAGCCGCCGCCGTCGCCGCCCCCGTCTCCTCGCCCCTCGCAGGGTCGAGGATCGAGCGTCGACTGTCAAAGGTTTTTTGTTTTGCCTACCTCGGATCTGATCTGCCTAGAAGGGTTCTTACTCGGTATGCTTAAAAGGGCCGGGCAGTGGGGCACGCCCCGGGCGGTTCCCCCAGTATCCGCCCCGCGGTTCCCCCAGTTACGTCCTTTTATCTCAACGTTGTGTATATCATCTTAGCTTAGCTTATTTCATCTTAGCTTAGCTTAGGTGCATCTTCGCTTAGGTGTATATCATCTTAGCTTAGCGTATTTCATATTGGCTTAATTCAGGAGTACCTTAGCTTAGTTTACCTTCATCTTAGCTTCGCTGAGCTTTAGCATAGCAGAACACAGCATCGTACAGCACAGCGTAGCATAGCATATCACAGCGCAGCATATCATATCATAGCATAGCCCAGCACAGCATAGCATAGTATATCATAGCGCAGCATAGCATAGCATATCATAGCATAGCATATCATGATATAGCATATCATATCATAGCATATCATAGCATAGCGCAGCTTCGCATAGCATAGCATAGCATAGCATAGCATAGCTTAGCATAGCACAGCGCAGCATGTCATAGCATAGCTTAGCTTAGCATAGCATAACATGGCGCAGCATAGCATGGCATAGCATAGCATAGCATAGCAACTAATGGTGCTTTCCTAGGGGCTCCAACTTCTAGGTAGGGTCGCACTGGGGTAATATTTTCTGTCCAAAACGAAAAGACATACTAATACGACTAATAATAATAACAATAATAAATCGTATAATAAGCATAATTGAAATAATCATAATAATAACAATGATACTAATAGTAATAATAATACAAATATTAATAATTATAATACAAATTATTGCGAAAGAGAGCCGGAGTCGCGGCTTGAGGCAGCAGCCCAGCAGCGCCGGCGCGGCACGCCTCGGCGGCCGGCGGCGCGCACCCGGCCCTTGGGCGCCGCGGCCATGGCCGCGCTCCTGGCCCCGCGCAGCGCCGGGCCCACGGCGCGCGCGCCGCTGGCGCGCGCGCCGCCGGCGCGCGCGCTCGCGGGGGCCGCGGCCGCGGGCGCGCCCGCCGCCGCGCGGCGGGCCCGAGAGGCGGAGCGGGGAGGAGCGAGGGGGCGAGCGGGGAGCGAGGGGGGGCGGGGGAGGCGGGGCGCGAGGAGGCAGGACGCGAGGAGGCAGGGCGAGGGAGCGGGGGGGAGCGAGGGGGCGAGGGGAGGCAGGGGGGAGCGAGGAGGCAGGGAGCGGGGCGGGCGCGAGGAGGCGGGGCGAGGAGCGGGGCGGAGAGGGGCGAGGCGCGGCGGGGGCGCGAGTGTGGCCACGAGGCGGGGCCGCGCCGAGCGCGGGCTGCTCGCCGCCGCGGCGCTGGCGGCGGCGGCGCGGCGCGGCCGGGCGGCGCGCGCGGCGGAGGGCGGCGCCACCCCGGCGGCCCAGGCGCGGAGGAGGACGAAGCGGGCGCGCCCCCGGAGGAAGAGGAGCGGGGGCGTCCTCGGCCAGGAGAAGCGGGGGCCTCCAGGGGCCTGGAGAGCCGGGGGGGCCTCCACGGGCCGGGAGGAGCGGGGGCGTCCAGGAGAGAGGAGAGGTCGGTGCGGGGGGGCGCCGAGAGGAGGGGTCGAATGACTCCGGAGATGGACAGACCTCCTACCCTGACACGTCGATTAGTGAATTGGCCGTTTCTGGTTCGCGAGAGGGCGTCGCGGCCGTCATTTTTGCGGGTCCAGGTCCGTCGGTTTCGGTCCCAGGTCGTTTTCTCTTAGGTGAGTTCTACTAAAGGGAGGTTTGTCCACCACCGATGATTGCGGTCGGACTTGGGGGCGGCCAAGACGCTGAGATGAGGAGCAGTCTGGGTTGGGAAAGCGCTCGACGTTTCTTGGACCCTTCCAGGGCTGCGTTCTCTGGCGCTCCTGTAGTCCACGCAGGCGTTTTTTTGGGGCCAGAGAAGGGGCTGCGTGGCTTGCGCAGCGTCCCTTGTGTCGGCAGCCCGGCTGTAGAAGACCGAGGTCGGCGCGGGAAGGAGACTCCAATGGTCTTCGTGCTTGGTGGATGCTCTTGTACTTCCTGCCCTATAGGTCTGGCCGTAGGGGGGGGCGGGGGACCTCATGGCGGGGGTCATGATATCTCCCGAGATGTTACGGCCCCTCTATTTTCGGGGCTGCGTGTCTTGCTCAGCGTCCCTTGCGGGGGCCATGGTATCTCCCGAGATTTTGCGGCCCTTCTATTTTCGGGGGTGGACAGACCTCCTACCCTGACGCGTCGATTAAGGCATTGGCCGTTTTCGGTTCGCGAGAGGGCGTGGCGGCCGTCATTTTTGCGGGTCCAGGTCCGTCGGTTTCGGTCCCAGGCCGTTTTCACTAAGGGGAGGTTCACTAAAGGGAGGCTTGTCCACCGCCGATATTTACGTCGATGCGTTCCAGGGTTCCCCCCCTCCTCCGCGCACGTGCCTCGGGGCCTGAATTGCGAACCCCCTCTTGGGCGCCCCCCTCTGGGCCGCCCCCAAGAATAAGGGTCGAGGTTTTCCGTCGTCGGTCTTCCACGCATCGGGATGCCTTCCAGCAGCTGCTCCTTGCCGATCGTCCCGAACGGCCGCTGGAGGTTCGAACGTCGCGCGACGAAGACACGGTCGGAGGGCCGCGCGCAGTGCTCGGATTTGCGCTGGTCCCCCATTGTGGCGCCTCTAGCGCTGCCACTGGCGCGTTCCGCGTGCCAGGCAGGGTGTCGAGTGTCGATCCAAGGAATTCGCGCGCACCGCCGAGAGCTTATGTTTATGACTACTGTACCTTGCTCTACAGACGCCCTCCAGCACCACGGCGCTGGCGCTGGCGGCGGTCTGCCTCCTGTCCACGGTGCTCAACCGGATGAGCTTCCGCTTCGTCCTCGTGCCGATGGGCCAGCTCACGCACCTGCTGTCGATCACGACGAACTTTGTCTACATCGCATTCTTCTCGAGGAACAGGCGATCACACATACACCAAAACTGTCGGAGCCCGGCGCGGATGCCGTGGATCGGCGATGGCCCCCCCCTCCCTGGCGCGTGGAGCGCACCACGTGCCGCGCCAGAGGCGCCGCCATGGGGGGCCCAGCTCGGGGGTGGACAGCCCTCCTACCCTGACGCGTCGATTCAGAAATTGGCCGTTTTCGGTTCGCCAGAGAGCGTGGCGGCCGTCCTTTTGGCGGGTCCAGGTCCGTCGGTTTCGGTCCCAGGCCGTTTTCACTGAGGGGAGGTCCACTACAGGGAGGCTTGTCCACCGCCGATATTTACGTCGATGCGTTCCAGGGTTCCCCCCCTCATCCGCGCACGTGCCTCGGGGCCTCACGTTCCCTCCACCGTCGACCAGCGCCGATCCAAGCCATCGGCGGGAAGCTCCGAAAATTTGTGTTGGCGTTTTTTTCTGTTCCCCGATCTTCTTCCTCGTCTGCCTGCTGAAGGCCCGGTCTGGGGGCCTGGCCAAGGACAACCGGGACTTTGTGGTGCGCGGGCAGGGGCGGTGGCTGCTCGCGGCCGCCGGGCTGGCGGAGTGCACCGCCTTCACAGCCATGCCGCTCTTCGCGCGGCAGCTGCCGGGCTCCATGCTGGCCGTGCTGTCGCAGTCCATGTTGCCGTTCTCGATGTTGTTCAGCATCGCGGTCTTCAGGCGGACCTACGACGCCATGCAGATCCTCGGCGTGGGAGTGCAGAGGAGGAAAAGGTACCCTTACCCGCTAACCCTCGCCTCGTTTCCCCTTCGTGGGCCTCCTTGGAGGCCCTCGTCGCCACCGCTGAATTCGCCTCGAAATCATGATCAGAGAGCACCCCAGGAGAGGTCCCAGGAGTATCGGTAACTGTCTCCATTTGGTTTCCCCAGGAGTGGTGATGCTGGGCATCGCCACCTGCTCGTACCCGAAGTACGTTGCCGACATCGCAGCTGGCGCTGGCGCCGGTGCCGGGAGCGCCTTCTTGTTGAACGCCGCAGGGTTGCTGATCAGTTACTCTTTCATCGCCGGCTCCTTCGTCTTCAAGGAGAAGGCGTTCCGGGCCTACGCCGCGGCCAAGCCGGGGGGCAAGCTGGACAACAACGTTGTGAACCTCGCAGCAGCCGTCTGGCAGTGCGCTGCCCTCTGGCTGCTGTGGCCCTTCAACTTCAGATTCCTCACGCCTCTGGCCCCCGCGGCGTACTTCGGCAAGGCGGTGGGCGTCTTCACGAATCCGGCGACGGCCGCCGTCGTCGCCGTGTACTGGGCGGCGAACATCTATTACCTCGGCACGTCGCTTACCGTCGTGTCGCGGCTGTCGTCCGTGGTGGCGATGTTGATCAGCGCCCTTGCGGTTCCCGTGAGCGCTTTTGCCTTCTGCCTCAAGTGGCCCGTGTTGGGGGCCGAGCCCTTCAGCCTGTACACGGTGCTGGGCCTGCTTATCATCACGGGCGGCCTGCTCGTCTACAACCACAAGCAGCTGACGTCGTAGCGCGGCCTCGGCCAGCCCCCGCAGACTCGAGGAGCTCGGGGAAACGCCAGGCTCGAGCTCCGCTGGAGCTCGGGGTCGCCGATGCTTTTGGACGAGCGTGTCCTGGGTTTTTTGTGGCGGTCCAGTTTGTGTGGGAGGTCTGCAGCGGGAGCTCGCGTCAAGCTTCGGGCTGGGTCTCGTCCTGTTCTTGGTGGCCCCGTCAGGCCCACCCGAGTCCCCAGAGCCCGAATCTTGCGTCTCCCCGGCGGGAATGAGGGATGTGTGTGTGTGTGTGTGTCTGTGTGTGCCAGAGCACCGCCTCCCACGAGGCAGGCAAGGAGGCGGAGGAGGAGGAGGAGGAGGAGGAGGAGGAGGAGGAGACAGGTTTGGGCTACGACAGCTCGAGGAGGTGTCGGGCCGACGCCCGCCGCGAGCGAGAGGTGCACCGAGGGCACCTGCCCTCGCCCCCCGCCCGCCAGATCGATGCCTTCCCTGGCCACGCCGGCGCCGTGGCCAGGAGGGCACGGGCGGGGCGGAGCGGGAGAAAGGCGGGCTGCTGCTCTTCGAGGCTCCGGAGAAGAAAGCAAAACGCCCTAAACATAAGCTGTCTGTCGGCGCTCCGCGCGAATGTCTTGGATCCGCACAGAATGCCATAGACGTAAACTGTTGGCGCTCCGCGCGAATTTCTTGGATCCACGTTACTCCCCCCCCCCGGCGCCGCCCCTGGCGCGCTCCGCGCGCCGGGGAGGGGGGTCCAGCGCGGATCCAGGAAGTCCGCGCGGAGCGCCAAAAGTTTATGTTTATGGTGTTTCTTCTTCTTCTCGAGGAGAGAGAGAGAGAGAGAGAGAGAGAGAGAGAGAGAGAAAAAAACAAAGGGCGAGAGAGAGAGAGGGAGAGAGAGAGAGAGAGAGAGAGGAAGAGAGGAGGACATGAGAGGTGCTGAAGCCCAGCTCTGGTGCGGCACCCAAGCCCTTGGCCCCCTCTGGAGGGGAGCCTCGACTGGACGGGGGCTGCTGGATCTAGTTTTTGGGGGCCATGCGCTTACAGCGGAGGCCCGTGCCAAGAGACGATGGGACGCGTGCCGTTCCCACGCCAAGAACCTGTGGACGTCCTGGGGTTTCAGTGTTGGGTGTCCCGTGGAAGGTCTCTTGTGGACTGGCCTCCACTGACTGTGCATTTCTGTGTGCATTTCTCTGCGTGTCCCTGGGCCCCTTCGGCGACCTCGGCTCTGGCCTCCTCCGCCCCCGCCCCCCCCCCCGCCCCAGACGTCGGGCGGGCTGGTGTCGGCCTCCGCGGCCCGTGCGCGGCCTCCAAGGTTTCGGCGTCGGGTTTCCTGCGGAAGATTTTTCTTGTGGGCTGGCCTCCACTGCACCGTCTGCACGCGGGCGTGGCCGCCCCAGACAACCGCGGCGACCTTCTACGGTGCGCGGCCCGATGGGGGCCGCGGGGAGGCCAGATGTCCGAGCGCGCAGGCCAGTGCGGGGGGGGGGGGGCGTGTGATATGGGCCCTCCTCCTCCTCCTCCCTCCTTCTCCCTCCTCCTCCTCCTCCTCCCTCCTCCTCCTCCTCCCCCTCCTCCTTCCTATCTCTCCTCCTCCTCCTCCTCCTCCTCCTCCTCCTCCTCCTCCGCCGACCCTCCCCCCCCATGCCCCCCGCGCCTGGACCAGTGCAGGGGGGAACCGTGTGATCTAGGCCCTCTCAGATGGGCTCGGAGCAGGCGGGGTCGGAGGGTCGCACCGCATCGCCGATGCATCGGCGATGTGAGGCCCGATGTTCTCCATGCAGACGGCGCCGGTGCATCGCCTACGTCGCTGATGCATCACCGATGCATCGCCGATGGCCGCCGATGCGGCGCCAACCTCCGACCCCAGTTGGAGGGCCTCCGTGTGGGCTCGCACCAGAGGGCCTCAGGTCACCCTGGCGAATGGCGGCTCTTTCGAGCAGCCGCGCGCTCCAATTTTCGGAAGTGCCCCCCCGGTTCCCCCCCGGGAGCTTCGGCCGCTGGCGCCGCGCCGCGATGCGGTTGGGACAGACGGCGCTGCGGTCCGCCTGGGAGGAGGCCTGGCCTGCTGCATGCTGCTCCGGCCCGATCGGGACCCGTCGCTGGCGTGCGTGACACGGTGCTGGTGCATGCACCAGCACCGTGTCATTCCCCACCGCCACCCACCGCCACCCGCCATGGCACCAGTTGCACGCGTGCAACTCCCACCGCCGCCCACCACTGCAACACGAGGCGGTTGCAGTCCGGCGCGCTGGCATTCAGCCCAGACATTTTCCTGCATGAGTTTTCCGTGTCTTTCTATATTGCCATTTTGTGCAAGTATATCTTATGGAAAGAATGGTCTTGGCTGGAGGGGGTTGGCCGGGAGGGTTGGCCCGATCTCTGGAGGTTGGCCAGGAAGGTTGGCTGGGTCCGTCGTCGCATGAGTGTGGCGACGCCAAATCTTAGAAACAAATTCTTTTCATAATATACAGTAAAGGTTTGCCGTCTAGGTGCGGTTTCTGGTGTGTTTGTGTGTTTTCAAAAGGAGGCTGAGGGACCAGGGCCGGCGTCGCGCCGAGGGGGGAAGCGAGAGCGGAGGGCGGCAGGGCTTCTCGGAGGCACTCCGGCCTTCTGAGGAGCTCTCCGTGGCCTCGGAGAAGGCTCCAGAGCAAGGTGGCGTGGATTCGCGACGGGTCCCGCTTCCACGGGGGAACCGCCGCTTTTGCCGCCGCCGAGCGAGGCGACACCGGCCGCATTTTGGGGAGGGCACCTCCCCCGATCCACGGATTTGGCCGCCGCGCGCGAGACCCATGGATCGCTGATCTATGCTTGCGCGCCCCCGAATGAAGGCTTTCAGAAGGTCAGGGGCCTGCGGATCCCTGCGAGCGAAGGCCCGCCCCTCCCGGGCGCGCCGCCGAGGAGGGGGCGCGCCGCCGACGGGGGGGCCTTGCGGGCGTCACTGCGTAGGCCACGGTGTCTCCCAGATGCCGTTGCCCCCGGCCTTCTGGAACACAGCCGCCGTCGTCCCCCGCCCATCCGCGCAGCTGCCTCGGGCCATGATCCGAAGAAGGAACGAACCATAATCAAAACTTTGGGCGCTCCACGCGGATTTCTTGGATCCGCGCGGGCCCCCCCCCCACCGAGGCCTCTGGCGCGCTCCGGCGCAGAAACAAGAAGTCCGCCAAAAGTTTCCGCTTGCGGCGCTTCTTCTTCCTCCAGTGATGCACACCCCCCTCCTCTTCCTGGCCCCCTCCCCCCTTCCCGCCCCCGGCCGGCGCCTGCACCGGTCTTGGCCAGCCTGCGCCCGCGGGCTCGAGGAGGAGTTTTCCCCTTACGCCCACCGCCCCCCTCGGGCATCCACCGCTGTCCCCCCCCATGAATCCGACGTCTCGATTTTTCCGAGACGCGGGCCCGCGACCTCAAGACGCCCGGCGAGGGCCCCGAGAGGCTAAAAACTATGAAAAACCTCTGTCTCGATTTTTTCGAGACGTCCGATGTCTGGGTTCCGCCCACCGCCCCGCTCGGGCCTCCACCGCTGTCCCCCCCCCCTCTTGCTTCGAGAGCCGCCGCCCGGCCGAGGGGGGCGCGGCCGGCCGGCGCATCTCTGGGGGGGGGAAGGGGGCCTGGCATCGCTCGGACGTGTGCACTCTTCCTTCGGCGAGGACCATCGAGGAGCATCCTCGATCATTTGGCGAAGAAAACACGCACGAAACCGAAAGGAAAACACGGGGCATGGACGTGCGAGCGATGCCCAGGGGGCGCGTGCGCGCCCCGAGGTGCCGGTGGACGAGGGTCGGCTGCGGGAGCGGGGCGTGGCCTCCGCGAGGTCGCTGTCGCGGGCGGGGCCGCCGGGGGGGGTGGGCGATGGGAGGAGGAGGAGGAGGAGGAGGAGGAGGAGGAGGAGGAGGAGGAGGAGGAGGAGGAGGAGGAGGAGGAGGAGGGAGGAGGAGGGAGGAGGAGGGAGGAGGAGGAGGAGGAGGGAGGAGGAGGAGGAGGGGAGGAGGAGGAGGAGGAGGAGGGAGAGGGAGGGAGGAGGAGGAGGAGCAGGAGGAGGAGGAGGAGGAGGAGGAGGAGGAGGAGGAGCTGGCTTGTGACCCTCCGTGGAGAAAGGTTTCAGGCAGCGGCAGTGGGTCGCGCTCCCTCGAATGTCATGAGCCTTTGCGTCTCGGACGCGCGTGCACTGTGCAGGCCTCTTGGGGGCTTCCTGGTACACTGTTGGGATTCTTGGGAGCTTCCTGCGGACCTCTTGGAGGCCTCTTGGGGGGTTCCTTGGGCATTTGGGGGGCCTCTGGATGCCCCGTGGGGAGCTTTTCGGCAGTCTACCAGATTTCCTGCCCTGGGTGACGCTGTCGGACGCCGTCTTAGGGGCCTCTCTGGGCCGAGTTGGGGCCATCTCGGGGCGCTTCAGAGCCGTCTCGAAGGCCATATTGGGCATGTTGGAGGTTTCCTGTGCTGTTTGGGTGCCCTCTTGGGGCCGTCTGGGGGCAACCTCGGAGGCCTCTTGGGTGCTCTTGGGACCACCTTGGTGACCTCTGGAGCCGTGTTGGGCCATCGGATGCCGAGCCTTGACACACAAACGCCCACGCCTGCCAATGACCGAAAGGCCGATCCATGATGTTGGCCTCTGCGGGCATTTCTGGAGCCCCTCTTGGCGGCCTTTTGGGCCGTCTGGGAGGCGTCTTGCGCCGTCTTGGGGGCCTCCTTGTGCGATCTTGGGGCCACAGTGGTGGCATATCGGCTTGTCTTGGAGACGTCGTGGGCTTTTTGGGAGGGCTTTCTCTGGGCCATCACAGCCATCTTGGAAGCCATCTTGGCCGTCCTGGAGGACATTCTGCGCTCCGCCTGGAGCGCGAAGGCCGAGGACCTGGCACGTGTACGAACGCGTGCACGGGGGCAGAAGAGACTTTGGGAAGGCGAAGTTCGTTCGCGCTCCCTTCTTCGGGTCGGGCGAAAGGGGGGGATTGGGAAAGGGGGGGGTACGAAATTTGCTGCATGCAGCTGGTTTCGGCCTCACCGAGGGGCCAATTCCTCGATACATGGCCGCTCCCGGCGCCGGGAGGCGCCGGGAAAATCAGCTACGTGAGCTGATTCTCAAACCCCCCCTTTGCTATCCCCCCCTTTCGCCCGACCCGACTTCTAATTAAGTGGCCGGCGGGTTGGGCCGAAGGTCCTCGGGAATGCTTCAATTCACGTTTGCTTACCAATCTGCACGCCGTGTATCAGGAGGAACAAAACACACGGACACAGTTAATCCTCCATCCCCCAGAAAATATGGGAAGTGGGGGGGAAGGCAGAAACCCAGAAAATATGGCAAACTAGGGGGAATATGTTTATTTGTGTGTATGTATTTGTGTGTCCCAGGGCCCCTTCGGTGTATCCCTGTGGCAAACCAAAGCGGGCGGCGGATCGAAGACGCCTGCGGCGAGTCGCCGCCGCCCCCTGCCTCTATCGGAAGCGCCCATGTGGCCGAATGTTGCGACCAGAGTTCGGCGAAGGTATCGATTTACGTGGTGCCCCAGCCGTGGTGGAAACCATTTGGGGACACACGTGGAGGAGAACAACAACAAACTGAGGAGAGGAGGGCAGGGAGGAGCAGGGAGGAGGAGGAGGAGGAGGAGGAGGAGGAGGAGGAGGAGGAGGAGGAGGAGGAGGAGGAGTAGTAGGAGGAGGAGGAGGAGGAGGAGGAGGAGGAGGAGGAGGAGGAGGAGGAGGAGGAGTGGAAGGAGGAGGAGGAGGAGGGAGGAGGAGGAGGAGGAGGAGGAGGAGGAGGAGGAGGAGGAGGAGGAGGAGGAGGAGGAGTAGGAAAAAGCCTTCTGGGAGCCTTTTGGGGCACTCTTGAGGCCTCCTCGGAGCTTTCCAGGGGCCTTTGGGGGCGGCGGATCTATTGGCTGTCGGCCCATCCCTCCACCGCGCCTTATTTATAGAACAGAGTCCGTTGGGCTGGTCTTTAGGCCCTGTTGTTTCCGAGACAGTCATGCGGGAAGACGCCCCAGGGCATGCCAGGAGCCCCCGGGGGTCTTAGAATTCGGGGCCCATGCCCCGGAACATGTCTTCAGGATTGATGGGTTGGGGCTCAGGGGATTGGGCAAGGGAGTTGAGAATCAATTCGTGCTCCGCAGGCACGGTGGCGGTTACGATGGGGGGGTTCTTCAAGGAATGCACGCAGGAGGCTTCAGACACTTGAGGATCTCTCATCTGATGCGTGCGGGGTGATATCCACGGCCGAGCATCAGTTGGTGTTCCACCTGCTTCCTGACCCGGGATTCCTCATCGGAGGGTTCCTCATCCAATGACGTCGTCGTTGAGACACGTTTGCAACTGTCGCACCGCTTAGGGCCGAGGAAGATCGGAGAGGGGGTGCGCGTGCCCTTCCCCTCTGTGGGGTCCATTTTCGATCTGGCGGTCTCGATCCCGTTCGGTATTGCTTCCCGCCGGCCCGATCCGATCCGATCCGCTTGGCATCGCTCGGACGTGTGCATTTTTCCTTCGGCGAGGGCCATCGAGGAGCATCCTTGATCATTTGGCGAAAAAAACACGCACGAAACCGAAAAAGACACAGGGAATGGACGTCCGAGCGATGGCGAGTCCAGACCTGCGATGATCCCATGCAGTCCGCTGCTGACGTGGGCGCCGTTGTGCATCCTGGCGCGGTCGATGCGATTCGGTCGTGCCTCCGTGTCCAAGGGCGCCCTCGAGGGCGCGAAGTCATTCGCGCTTCGCGGCTCGGCTCCGACTCCTCCTCGTCCTCCTCTTCTCCCCTGGGAGGCGGCGCGAGCGCGCGAAGTGATTCGCGCTCTCGCGCAGCGCGCAGCGCGAAGCTGGGAGCCCTTGGTGCCGATGCGGCCCGATCCGACGCACATGCCGAGTCGAGTTAAGTCGGGCGTGTCCCCCTACAGAGAGATTTTCGACGAAAAATAAGATATACACAACAAATATCCCCAAAAGGTAAACAAATACTCCAAAAATAGTCCCCAGACTACGTGTGGACTACTTTTTGACCACTCTTGGGGCATTTTTTATTTTTTGCCGAAAAGCCCCCTGTAGGGGGACAGGCCCGACTTAAGAGTCCTTCTGGTTCCCCGATGATCTTCGTCCTACTCCTCCTCCTCCTCCTCCGCCTCCTCCTCCTCCTCCTCCTCCTCCTCCTCCTCCCCCCTCCTTCTTCCTCCTCCCCTCCTCCTGCCCCTTCTGCCCTCCGCCTACTCCTCCTCCTCCGCCTCCTCCCGCCCTCCTCCTCCTCGTCCTGTGGTGATGATCTCGTGGCCCTCTCTCGCGGGCCCCGGGCCGAAGCGCGCCGGGGCGCCGCCGGGGGGGGGCAGGGCTACGTCGGCCTCGGGCAGCGCTTCAGGCCGGGCCCCCCTTGCGGCGTCTGCCGCGGGCGGGCCTGCCCCAGACATTTGCCCGCCTCGCTGAGAGAATCCTCCTCCTCTTCCTCCTCCTCCTCCTCCTCCTCCAGACATCCTCCTCCTCCCCCTCCTCTTCCCTCACCTCTCCTCCTCCTCCTCCTCCTCC